AGGGATTGAAGAACCCAGTAAAGAATGTGGACCACTTGGTTATATGGTCTTGACAGAAAGTTGTAGGGTACACACATTTGTTTGCATTAAAAAATTGGGCTGACAATAAGGAGTAAACAAATGTTACTGAAATGATTGTGAAGACAATAATTTGTGACAAAATGATTGAATATCACTCTTGTTTCAGATTCTTAGATGCCTAAAACAACTCATTAGATTTGAACTACCAGTTCGTTAAAGTCAGTTCAAGTCCATGAAGCACACTTGCACGATCACTAGAAATAAGAAAATGCAGTTTACTATGCATTTTATTCACTGATTTTACTACAATAATAGGACTGAACTGCAACCTCCAGCTTGCTTTGGATGATCAGAGCTCCCAAACATGCTTGTACACCCAAAAAAAAGATCTATCAACTACCATACATCAAATACAAAATATTACAAGGCAACTTGACAATACCTGAGAACCTGAGCCAATATGCGGATCACCCCCACGCAAATCATCCACAATCTCTGTGTACAGCTGCTCCTTGGGTGTTGGCTCAGGCGCACCAAAATAAGAGAACTCTACAACATCCACATCACACCATACACCTCCTGGTCCCTGATTAAAGGATTTAATAATTGTTTTAGCTACACACTGAACCCGGTTCCAACTAAAGGGGTTGAAACAAGATAAAACCACTATGTAATCAGAATGGAAAATGTAAAAGAAAAAAAGGAACAGAGGAAAGGGACAGGATAAGAAGTAAAATTGTATAACCTCTAGGGCAGTAGGTAGACATTGGATGGGGCTGAGCCATTGCTTGTCAACCTTCCTGGAGACAAAAACAAGGATAGCTGGTGTTTCAGTCAGTACACCTTTTTTAATACGAAACCCAATTGCTGTCCCAAGACTGTAGCATCTCAAAATCTTGCTATGAAATGCTCTTATGGTCATTAGCTCGAGTAATGTTGTTGCTTGTTGCCCTTTTGGCAACCGACCAAGGGTTTCAGGCAGCACTCCTTTCTGTAGATTAGCAAAATAGTTTGCCCTCTCTTCAGCAGCATCATTTAATCTGCTGGAGGGTGGCCATGAAAAGTAAGGGGCATTGCTCTCATTGTGCATTCCAGCTGAAGCAAAAGGCTGAAGCGTTGGTGGACTAAATGAAGGAAGATGAGGATGACAGCAGCAATTTCTTTCAAAATCCAAAGCTGATTCCTCTGATGGTGTTGAACCAGAGCAACGGCCCCTCATATTAAGTCTGGACCGCTCCATCTTTCAGAGTGGCTAAGCAGATAATGCAGCAAAATTCCTGAAAACCAATACAAGGGACAATGATTCAAGATACACATGCATCTAGCCAGACAGTTTGACAATCGTTTACAAACAAAAATTCTTTAAGAAAGCAAAGAGCTGAAGCAGGAAAAGATAAATGCATTTGTGTGCACATCCCAGAGTGGCCAAAATACAAAATTATCATTTTTAACCTCAAAGCTTCAAAAGAACATATACACTACCATCTCAAACAAAAAAAGCCAAAACCAGCTCTTTCCCTAAAGAAGGCAATATAGATAAAAGCAAAGCGCATAGTTCAACAAATTCCATAACCACAGAGAGTGAGAGAAAGCTATTAAACAACTGTTTATGATTATTGCCCAAATACGAAAGATCAGCTAGTAACTCTGCGTTACTTAAATCTATTCCACATGATTCCACTTCAAAAATTAGCACATTTATTGCCCACAAATCAGTTATAGCACACGCTTCAAGTTATAAGCACATGTCTCAACATGTAGAGAAAACAATTCAACTTTGGTCATTTTATAAAACTCCAAAGTCATTCCACATTCCAGTTCAATATCTTCATTCTAACTTTTTGCCTACAAAGTTTAACATTTGTTAACAAGTCAAAACTTAGAAGTATATATGTTACTATACCTATATCAAAAAAACCCCCATTTTCATGTGCTGGGGGCAAAAAAGAAAAATGCCAGAAAATTTTCTTCAAGGAACAAGGAAAAGGAAAATTGGATTTGACTTGGAAAGGACAAAGTAAATTAAAAGAACTAAATGATTAAAAAAATTAAAAGGATTGCGAAAAAGTAGAGGAAGTGAAATGTTCATGTTAAACAAAAGAAAGCTGATTAAAGTTAATCACTGAAATATCTACACCAGTCTCAGATATAAAGCAATATGAAATTGGATGTTCAAAAAAAAAAAGAAAAAGAAAAACCCAGTAGTGAAGTAAAGATAAAATAAATGGTACAGCAAATTTGAACAATTGGTTCAACTACTAAGAGCACATGTTACGGTTACACACTCCATTATACCTCTCTTTTTATTCTTTTTCCTTTTTCTGACAAATTCAATCATGATTATGCTTCTTCTTTCATTTCAATAATAATGAAAAAGCTTAACTCTTCACACTGGGTATCCCCCTCTTCCCCCCAAATAAATAAAAAACGTATCACACAACCAAAGAAACAGAGAAAATGAACAGTTAAACAGGAGCTGAAAACAATCTGAATTTCAACTTTCAAAGCCACCCCAGAAACTAAAAAACCACTTAATTCAAAATAACTAATATAACCCAATTCATGTATTTTTTTTATAATATATATATTCTTTTATAAAAAAAAAGAAAGTTAGATGAAATCAAAGAAAAGAAGAGAAACTCACCTGAGAAAGAAAAAAAAAGAAGAGGAAATGAGATGGTGGGTCCAATTTGTAGAGACGTCCTAAAGACAGGCTGAAAGAGACTTAACTTTTCATGTCTGCAGACGAGTATGCTGCCTTTTGTAGGAAGTAAAGGCGAGCAGAATCTAAACCAGATCTTAAGAAAGGTCCATCACTAGCTGGAATCTGAATGATGGCAGCAGAATATTGAGCAAATGACCGTGACAAAGTAGAAACCGATAGCTTGTATGAGTCTGAAGGAAGGCCTTCAGAGAGTATGAGATCAGTAAGCTTTACACGACCCAGAGATGGCAGGCCATTGCCTGCCATTAAATTCTTTCAATGTACCAGCTATCTAAGTTTTAACTAATAGTTATGATCTGTCGACGGTAGAAATTAAAAGTGGCAACGGTCGAAGCCGTTAAGGCATTAAGTATAATCTGCCCTGCATGAAAAAAAAATAAAAAACAAGAATTTAACAGTCATAACAATAAACTTTTAGACTATAAAGAAATTTTGGGCATCACTGAAAAGAAAAACATGAAAAGTTATTTCAGATGGTTTGCAATTGGCAACAGTAGGCGATTCAAAACATGGACTATAGATAAGAAAGATGCACCAATAAAGAAGACCAAATATAAAAATTTTCAATCAAAGAAAGCATACCATGTTATTCCCGATTACATAAGAAAAAATTTCACAGATTAAAATTCCTAAAGGAGTGTCTTAGCAACTATCTTCAAAAGTGAACAGACAAACTGGTATGGAAAAGGCACAAATAACAAGTTTCAAAACCAGATGAAACTCAGTTCTTGACTCAGTTTCAGTTCCTACTAGTAAGTCAAAGAAACAAAAACAGTGAAGGTATCCTCCGGCGGACGAGAGTAAAATTTTCTTTATTTCACAGACTGCAAAATATGAAAGAAAAAAAGAGAAAATTACTCATTAACTTTGAAATTTCGAGGTAGATTATAATTAAATTAAGATAGATTTTTCGCTATTTGGAACTACCGTTATCCAAGCTGGTTTTCATACACCTGTAGGATGAATTACATAATGAATTTAGAAACCCATTTTGTAGAACCTATTTATATATAGTAAAACTATGATCAAACTTGGGATAAATAAAGCAATCTATTCTATCAAAAATCATGAAAAATTTGCAATTTGCTAAGAAATAACAGCACACACCTCAAAGAAAAAAAAAGTAAACTTGCTTTAAATTTTGTATTGTTTATATTTAGAAGAACAAACCCAGTTCATAAAATCAAAAAAAACTTAACATAAAGAAATACACAACCGACCCATAAAAAGAAACAAATTCAACTTGCCTTTGATCGAGCGAAACGCCTTGCGAGGCAGTAAACTGAAAGCTGAAAAGGATACAGATGTGACAGTGGGCAACTAGAGAGGGAAAGCACGAGGGAATTTCGTGGGGAGAAAAGAGCAATTCCATTATTATTCATGGGCCTTGGCTTGGGAAAACACGATTGGGTTGGACTTTGGAGATATAGCTCAGGCCTAGTCTACAATCATAAAAATAGTCTTATTATTGACTTTAATCTAATCGGAGATAAATAATTTTATTTGGTCATGACAAATAAATGCTAATTTATCAATTTATAAATAATGAAGAAAATTAAATTACTTTACTTATTTCAGAATTTTAAAAAAAGAATAATATTACTGTACAACTTCCACAAGGACTAATTCAATTGATTTCCATTTAAATTTAATATGTTTATCAGGAAAAGTTTAATCACTGAATGCCAATGGAACCACTTGTGTGAAAAAGACTGAAATTAAGAGATAAGCCATAAAATTGTTCAGACAAGACAAATTTAATATAGCAGAACAGGTCGCCGTCCAAATACAAGTACTTTTAGGAACCACTAAATAGAAAGTCGATCACGACTGAAATTAAAGTATTTTCGAGCAAGTCAATACAACTCTGCTATTACATCATCATTCACAACTAATACAACTGGGGGAACTAAGATCTACGGCTTACGAGGGGGTGAACTACTACTGCTGCTATTGCTGCTGCTTCTTCCTCTCAATGGCCTGCACATGAAAAAACCCGAGGGTGTTCTGTGTTCATCGAAACTTCCAAAATCTTTACTCATTGGATTAAACTCAAACTCACAAACTTGTTTCTTCATGGCTAGCACCCCAACAACATCATTCTAGGTTAGCATTCTTTAATCAACGTTATATATAGACACACATCCACACGTGCTAGCAAAGCCTAGTTTCCATGTGTACACAGCATAACAAAGAAATGAACCAATAAAATTTAAATTTTCATTAAAAATGCAAATTATTTAGCAAGAAAGATGAATAAAATAAAATAAAATAAGCAAATTACCTTCTAGGACTGCGACTCCTTGAGATCCTCCTTGCTACCTGTCATAATTGACAAAAAAACACATATGCCAGATATTAAATAACTAGTAAATAAGGTTCTCCCTTGAAACAAGAACAATAAATGCTAACCTTCCGGGGACTGGGTGATCTGGAATAGGATGATGACCTCCCACGTCTCACTGCAGGTCCTCGGCCTCTGTGTTAAAGATAACATACAGAAGTAAGATCCCAAGATGTGGAAACATGAGATTGCAAACAATACTGAATTTTATTATTCATTAACAGGTATTCTTCGTCATCTACTAAGTTATAGCTTAATAATTAAAGGAAAAAAAAAGGCACCAAAAGTGAGAAAATATTACTACTATTACCAACACTGAAGACCCCAAATGTATCATATTTTTTGTAAATTCTCATAGTCCAACCAACATCAATGGATTGGGGAATGGAAGGCAATCAAAGGCACCAGCAAAAGCTCAAATTCACTCATTCAATGTAGTCAATCAAATTACTAGTAATTTCAGCACATACAAATAAATTTAATAAACTTCTTTCTTCATTGTCACTTTTCTAGAGGATATTTGACATATTGGCAGGTAAAATAGAGAGAGATAATGAAATTGAAGACAGAATATTTAAAGCAAATGCACCTCCGAGGTGAGATTGACCTTGAACGAGAACGAGCAGGCCTACGAATTGGAGAACGGCTCCGTCTACGGCTGAAGGGAGACCTTCTTGGAGGACTACGGGCTCGTCTAAGAGGTGAACTGTAATAAAACATAATAATATAAGACCCACATTACATGAAAAAGTTAGGCATTAGTCATTTGAAAATCTACAAATTAAGTTATTTCAGTCTTAACAGGGCATTACCACAATTCATGATGCAGACATCCTTCAGAAAATACTAATTATGGGATGCCAATTCAATTAGTTGTAGCCTAACTAAGTTAAAATTAGTATCCACTATCCAGTATCCAATTCATCACATTCTCTTCCTACCTTCACAGAATAGTGGAATTCAGTCTCACTTCCAGGACAATTAGTCAGTGGCTTAATTCAGTGAGACTTCCTGTTCAGGATTCATAAGAGTTCTGGTAATATAGAATTCCCATGTCTTTTGCAGGCCCAGTGAAAAAAAAACACTTTCAATGTTCCCTTATTATTGCAAAATGTGATCAACATCATTTATGCCCATTTGTACTACAAAATCTGAAGAAAGGCTTTGGTTGGTATAACAGAAAAGTGGGAGGATGGAAAAGGAAAAATTTTGATTGTGCTTGATAGGAAAGAAAATGTGAGGGATGAGGGTTTTCTCCCCAGGCTCACAAAACCCAATCTGTCCAAATTGGACAGATGAGATGGAAAACAAGGCCAATTTGGATATTCTTAATTTGATAGTAAAACAAGCAAAAAGTTCTTAACTTTGAGGGTAAAGCACTAAGGGTAAGGAAAACTATAGATTTAAGTTATAATTTAATGAGGGGTATGACACTAAAATCATTTAATTTTTACTTTCTTTTCACTCATTCTTCTATTCCGCCAATCAAAGGAAAGAAATGTCATTTTTCTTTCCTTCCATTCCTCTTTCTTTCCTACCAAGCACACCTAGAAGAAATAACATTTTATCCTTTCACTTTTCTCCTTCCTAAAATTTCCTCTTATCTTTATTCCATTCATCCTAGGACAAAGAAAAATGGAGATTTAGGAGCAAATAGAAGTGGAAAAATGAAAACAGTTTTTTTTTCCATTGAATTGCTTGGATAAAGGATTATTTCTTTTATCCATTGCATGTTAGAATTGAAATTGAGAGGAAAGAAAACAAAGACAAAGTGATTTATCATCATACCCCTTATAAATATTTATCAAAAGCAATAATATTTCCTTAAGATGAATAGATGATGTGTGCTTTACTCCCAAAACTAAAAACTTCTTTTGCTTTTTCTTTTTTTTTCTTTAAAGCAATTTTATGGTATTCTTTGGTTTATTGTTTTTCGTGACATATTTTTATTTTTCTAGAAAAAATATATAAATGATAAATTTTCTATTTTTCAAAAAAAAAATTAATGCTGTAAATATGATGGATTTGCAAGAAAAAGTTTCTAGCAAATCATCTTTAAAACAACAGCCTAACAGCTTCTAATTTTGAGATAAGGTTCATAAATTTAAACTGATGCATTTTACTTTCCAAAAGCAGGTGAAAGCCATGTTCGAGAAAAAGAGAAAGGGATTAAAGGTTTCTCCCAGAGAGAGAGAGAGAGATTGCTCTTATGTAACAGGCAGAATTTGTAAATTCACATGACTCATTCAAATTGGCCATCTTTTCAGTCTCCTCATGGCCCAATTTGGACAGATAGAATTTTGTGAGACTAGACAGAACATATATCTATCTTGTTTTTTTTCTCTCACTTTTTTCTACTGCCAAGCACACCCAAAATCCATTTTCTTTTTCCTTGATACTTTTCTGTTACCAAGCAAAGCCAAGCATGACCAGCCAGGGAATTCTTTATAGTTGTAAAGCCTACCAACTGAAACTACTAAAACTTCTAACAGACAGGATAAAAGGAAGGAGAGAAAGAAAATAAAAGAAGAGAAAATGTGATTCACACCTTGAATAACAAAACACGGTAAAGTTTTTCTTTATACTCTTTTGGTACTTATACAGTTTTCTTATGCTATGATCCATGCTATAAACATGAAAATCTCATAAGTTCCTTATGAAAAGCTTTATGTAAGTATGGAATCAAGAAACAATTAAATGAAAAACTGTACGCAAGTACAAATATTGTAATTTGACCTTTGGCTGTGGACACAAAGTTTGCTCAAGTAACTATATGGCACATACTTCTAAACATGGAAACTTTCTTCTATAAATAACTAACTTGGCAGGATTAAATAATTTTATTTGATGAGAACATATATTTTACCTGGATGAGACATTATATTCTATTACTACTGCACAACTATTGACCACAAATTTACGAATGATTATTATCTCCTTTTCACCAACGACTAGCTTAAAGATGGAAAATGATCAGATTATAAAAATGAATTGGGCTGATGCAAACAACCAAGAGATCAAGAAAACTCAAGTCCAAAATCAAGAATTAAGAATTATCATATTTAAATATCATGTATTTTACATCCCATTTTGCCCTTGGTTAACCTAGATTTTAGCCTCCAAAATCATTCCGTCACTTTCTACTTCACATCATGGCACTGAGAAAATTTGCAATGTTATATTGAACTATTTGTCAGCCACACTCATACCAACAAAAGATCAACATCTAAGAGTCACTTATTAAAGCTAACAACACGAATAAGACATACTAATACTACCTAACAAACAATTCTGAGTTTGTCTTTGATGGATTAGTGTACTCTTGATTCTTCAGATTCAACAAGATCTTATGCATTTATTCATTTGTTCACATGTTGTGTCCAGTTCACTTATACCTTAGGGCAATAAAATTTAAGCCACACAAGAATAGCTAAAATGTATTATTACCGGCGCCTTGGAGGAGGAGAACGTCTTCGGATTGGACTACCACGCATCCTACGAGGAGAGGGCCTGTCAAGATTAAATGGGTTAAATTATTTCAAAACCAGTTCAATAATTAAACAAGCTATTTGCCTATTACAACTACCATACCTTGCTGGAGATCTAAGCCGCCTTGGTGGAGACAATGGAGAACGACCTCTGGCAGGAGAGGCAGGTCGGCGCCTGGGAGGTGTTTCACCACGCCGATAAGGAGATTCTACACGACGACGAACTGGAGAATCTACTCGCCGACGAGGAGACTCTGCTGGTCGTCTAGGGGATCCACCTCTTCGACCCACAGGTGATCTCCTTCGTGGGGAAGGCAGGGGTTTCCGTTGAGGAGAAGCTGATATCAAATAGTTAACAAATTGAATAATATATAAATAACTAAATACACAAGTATAACATAATTTAAACAGAAATTTTACTATGTTGAGCATACATTCCCGTGGTCGTTTTGGCCCATCCCTCTCAATATCAGCACTGGCATTATCAGATTTTTGAGCATCTCTTTTAGGAGCAGAAGCAATTGGCTTTGGTGGTGGAGAAACTTTTGGTCGTGGAGGAAGTGTAAACTTCGCTCTTACAACATTGCCATCAATCTGGGCCTGCATTAAGGCAGAAACTAACATCATTCTTGCAAAGTACTAATATCTTAATACTGCCAATAATTTTACTCTAGCATATTAACAAAACCTACACCATCCATGTAAAGTAGAGCTTTTTCAGCATCTGCTCTTGTCTTGAATTCAACATAGCCATATCCTCTTGGAAGATTAAGCTGTTAACATGAAACATGTCAAGATGAAGATGATGATGATAAGAATAACAACAATGAAAAACTTTCAACACCAAAATATGACTGATGTGAACTTACAACACGGTCCATTGCTAGATCCACATTTACAACTTCACCAAAATTACCTACAAAGTGGGAAGATGAAGACAATTATAACAGAATTGAAGTGTTGAGGTGGAATGGATTAAAAACATAAAGGAAACAAATACTCGCCTGTACAAAACCATGCACATTCCAGAAATAGCAAACCACTATCCCAATTATATACAATTCTATAATCTTATTGAACATATAAATATAATTCTCAAAACTTCGTCTAGAAAAAAGAACAAAAGTATTGTATGTAATTTTATAATACAATTGCAAAATGATTAAGTGATCATATTCTTAGGGGATAAAAAAAAGAGATTACAGGAAATATTAGAACAAGATCTACAAGCAAATCAAGAAAAATATTACAGTGTCCTCATACATTGACCAGGTTCTTTAGATTAATTAAGAGTTCATTAATAATAGTCAGTATCATGCCACAAAATATTCAAAATGCCAATCTCTCAATAAAAGTCTTATACACCATAAGTTATTAAGTGCCTCAGCTTTCAAGAAGTATTAACAATTCTCCAGTCAAGCATTTGTATTACTCAAAGGTTTAAAGGTAAAGCTCATACTGAATATTTCTCTTAGATGGCCTTCATTGACATTCCTGCTCAGTGAGTCAACATAAAGAACTAGGGACTCGCGGATGGGAGAAGTCTTCCTGAAATCAGTGCCAAGAACAACATAAATAGTTGAGGATAAACTTCAATCCTTTCAATTACTGTATTCTTTTCTTTTTCTTTTTTTCCTAATCTGGAAACATGATCATACTATTAAACTCCTTTCCATATTATCATGTTAAGCATAATGCATGTTTACATATATTGCATATAAGTCATCCAACCAAGTCAAAGTTTCTCTGGCAGTATCTGCTCATGATTGAAGAAAACAGGAAGAGACGAAAAATTCCCAATCCACAAAACTAGAGACAGAAAAAAGAGAAAAATACCCATCTTTGTTTCCTAAGAAACTAACTACAATATCAATAGCAGTTATCTTGCGAAAAGAAAAGCTAAAATGAAAACTACTACTTAAAAGAATTATTTGATTCTCTCTACTATTGGAAAACCCAGATCCACTAACTTAAAACAGATTAAAAACAAGTTTCTTTTTCAACAATTTTGTATTTTCTAAATCAAATATTAAAAAGCTTTGAAAAATTCACTCCCTGGTTGCTAACAACATAGAACATACGCATTACATATAGAATAAAGTAAAGCGTCTGCAGAAATTTAAATTGAAAATAATGATAAATCTGAACTGAACATAAATTTACCTTGGAGCTGGAGATGCTTTTTTAGATTGTGGTGGAGGGGAACGACCTCGCCTAGATGCATCAGGCGGACTATGGCAGCGAATGAAAAGAAAACTCAGATAAAGATATTAAACATTCCAAAGGATAATAACCAAATGCAACAAAAAATGGTGGGAGGGACAGTTACATTATACCAATGTCAATAAAGAGGGTGGCATTCCCAGTTGCAGAGACATTTAAATCTAAGTTTTAATTCATTAAATTGACCTGCATTACCACTTCTCAACTCATAATTTCGTTCCAACTCTTGTACATCATACACATATATGAGATTCCAACTCAATCAGCTGCCGAGAAAATCTCAGAACTTACACCTTCTACTCTTCCTTGACAGTAAGATAAAGGAACCATATTTCAATGAAGCTATATTGTGGCATAAGGTGAGTTGGATGAACTTGAATCCAAATGAGCTAAGTTTCCAAGTAATTATTATTAGGCAGATCATTTTCGGCAATCAAGTGCAGCATTCATGCATAATTATCTTAAAAGCAACAGTACTCTGCTATTAGCAACAAGAAAGTACTTTTCGCTCTCTGCTCTTTCTTCTTAAGAATTTGCAAAAAAAAAAATCAAAAGCAAACGATATAAAGCAAAACGCTAATTGCTTAATAATAAACAACTAAATAAAATGTGCACCCGTGCTTTGGCTCATTAGTTGGTGCATTATCCCCTTGCCCAAAGAGTAGGGATCGAATCCCCCTCCCCCAATTATAAAAAAAAAGTTTAAAAAAAAACAACTAAATAAAATGTAACACCATTTCTAACAAAATTTCTCCATATAAAAGTAATATCATTGTCTTTTATTCTCCAAAATAATTGTTTTCTTTTGCATTTAAACTTGCAAAACTAACAACCCCCAGTACCTGATCAAATTAGACTTAAATTCTTTCGTTTCATTTTTGCCATTAACAAGTATTGCTGTTCACTATAATTTCAAACCTCAAATTAATTAAAGCTTATAAGTAAATTGTAGAGTATCAAAAATCTGAAGAGAGAAGAAAAAAGTGACCTTCGACGCTGAGGAGGGCTGCGACTTCGCGAGCTAACGCTGCGAGAAGGAGAGGAAGATGAGAAGGATCTGGAGCGGGAGTGGGACCGAGAGCGAGAGCTAGACGGGGAAGCAGATCTGGACCGGGACACAGACCGCGAGCGGGAGCTGGACTTGGAGTCTGAGCCGGAGTAAGAGCGGGACCGGGAACGAGATCTGGACCGAGAACGGGAAGAGGAGCCGGAACCGGAGATGGAGGGTGAGCGACGGCCTCTCGTCGGCTTCGCCATTGGGGGAATGCAGAGATAGGAATGGTCGGAACCCTAGATAAACCCTAGGGGGTGGGAGAGTGAATTCTGTAGTGCGTTTGTTGGAGGGAGGACGCGATTTATCTGTACCAAAAAAAAGGTCTATACACGTCCTTTTTTTCCGAAGTAATTACTTTTGGGTTCTTGGAGTTTTCCTATTAACCGAAAAATATCAAATTTACTTCCCCAACTTTATTCCTACATTCAATTGTGCCCTTAACCATTTTAATTTTTCTTTAAAATATAAAATTCATGAGGCCATTTCAAAAAAATTCATGAGAGATTTTAATAATTAACTCTTTCTACTCTCAAGAAATCTTTATTCTATTTCTAGTTACCTTGATAATTTAACTTAATATTTTATTTTTTGAAAATCTTGAATTCCAATTTTAAAGTAAACAATGTAAGATTTATAAGAAAAAAAGATAATTATTTCCTCTCGTATAATCTGAAAATATATATATACCAATAAATTTTATTTATCTTCCCTTTATATAAATGTTATGTGTCGTGCAGTTAAATGAGGAAATCGAGTATTTTTGTTTATTTCATTCTACAAAACAAATCTTAAGCTTTGAAAATTAATTCTAAAGATGGTAATCAAACTATTCGAGTTGAATTTATATTTAATTATTATTTTAAGTTTTCAATTCTAGTTACAAGTCTTTTGCATCTGCTATGAGGCTTTTATAGGATCAATTAAAATTTGAATTAACATTTTTTTAGTTTTGGGTTTTTCACATGTTAAGCATGCATATATTTATAAAAATACTTTGAAGTGTGAACAAACAAACAAACTTTAGATTAAGAGTATTTTGATAATTTTAGTAGGGAAAATTATCTATTAATTCAAACCCCTTGTAGAGATAAAAGTTATCTATTAATTCGAAAAAAATTTCACATATTTTACTAGATAAAAAAGAAATCATGAGATTTCATATAGAAAAAAATTAAAACCATAAAAAATATAAATGAAGTTTACCCTACATTTTATATACATAAAAAATAATATTAATATTTTCAAAATATACCTAAAAAATATTTCCATTTTAAATCAAATCCAAATAAATTGATATCATTGAGATGATTCATTTTTTATTTTTTGTTATTAGACTTAGGTTTCCTTACAATATGCTCAATTAAATTACATTACAGTGTTTGTTTTGTAACAGATCACTGCAATGTAAGATTGCAATGCAATCACATTACAGCCAATAGATGTAATGTGATTGTAGTCCAAAATCAATGCAATCACATTATATTGCATTTTGCAATGTTCTTAAAAATATTTTTACCTTTCAACTTTATTACCTTATTAAAAATATTTTATAATGTTATAATTAAAATAAAAATATTAAAATAAAATATATAATATAAGAATCAAAAATTAAAAAAAATTAAAATTATATAACATAAGAAAAATAAATAAAAATAAAATATATAATATAAAAAATTATATTAAAGAAATAAAAATAAAATATATAAGATTATAATAATAAATGAAAATAAAATATATGACATTCAAAATATATTTAAGAGATGATATTATATAAAAATTAATAATAAAAAATATAAATATATTAAATTTGTATTTTAATAACTAGGGGTAATTTTGAAAATTAACATTACATTCCCAACAAAGTACTTATCAACCAAACGCTGCAATGTTATCTTCTCTGCATTTTAATCATTATTTTACTTGTATACCAAACACTGCAATGTTATTTTCCCTACAATGACATTGCTTACAATCACATTACCTGCAATCATGTTGCATTATAAAGTACCAAACGTCGCCTTAATGTTGAAATAAGCTCCTAAACTATTTAAGAAAATTCAAATAAGTCTTAATTCATTTATTGCATTCAATTAAGTTTTTATATTTTTATTTTGGTCAAATAAGTCTTTGTGATTAATGATTAACTAATTGTCATTAATCAAAATGTCACTTGTCATTTTATATTCACATAACATTGACAGGGCATTGATGTGAAAGGTGAAAAATATCATATTATTGTATTATTATGTTAAATTAGTATGTCATGTCATCATCTTTTATAATATATCAATATGTCACATCACAATTAATTATCATATGTTAGCATACCACATTAGTATCACAAGATATAGAATCGCTAATGATATTTTAATTAAGTCAATCATTAATTATAAGGACTTATTTGACTCAAAATAAAAATAAAATGGCTTACTTGGCTCAAAATAAAAATACAAAGATTTGGTTAAACATAATAAAAGTATAATGGCTTATTTGAATTTTCTTAAATGGTTTACGGGCTTTTTTGAATATTATACTCTTTTATTATAATTCAATGGTCAAATTATATAATTAGTTTTTGTATTCTATCAAAGTGGTGGATTTAGTCCACCTACAATAATTTGTAAAATTTAAATTCTTATACTTTTCAAAATTGACAATGTCAATCTAATGTGTTAAAAATTTTCTATTATCTATATTGATATAGCATTTAATTGTGTTTACATGAAATTTGCTTAATCATGTGACATTGAATTTGATTACATCACAATAATGATGTGACATGTTAAGAATGATGCAATAGTAGTATTAATAATTTCATCTCTTTCATTTATAGTGGTAGTGCAAGAACAAAGAGTTGCCTTAATGGCCATTATTGCCTCTACATTTGGGGACCCTTCACCTTCAAAAGGAGTTCTTCTAAAGGACAAAAGTGAAAACCAATTTGAGTCATTGGGTTTTTAGATTCATCATCATCCCTTTAGAAGTAGATTTTAACAACCTAGAAGCGAATCCATCAACAATAAAATCCAAGTTTCATTTGGAAGATGGTATCAATGTTGGTCCTAGCATAGAGCATCAATTTATTCCAAGCTTCATTGCACGATCTCCTTTGCATAAAAACTTCTCAGATAAGGTTGTTTCTAAAAATCTTGCTTCATTATGGAATAGGTGTGCTGAAGATTTTTGTGTTTGATTGCATTTGGGTGACAATGAAGTGAAACAAAATAGGTCAGAGCCTTTAACCAGCACCAAAGAACCCAAGTGAAATTGTTTAGTGCTTTAGCTAGGAATCACTGACCTGCTCTTATAGTTGGTATTGTAGCTTTAATCAAGTAAGTGAAGGCTAAAAATTTTTATTTGTTAACTTTGTTAACTTTACTAAGTCAAGTTAACCTTAATGTATTTTATAGATTTCTTGCTTTTGAAAGTTTTATGTTTCAAAACTTGCTTACTAATAATGCTATCTGAAAATAAAATGTTTCAAAAGAACGGAATCTAAAAAACTCTATTCAAAAATAATAGAATTAAAGAATGGAGTCAGGGAAACCCTATTCATCGAGAATAGAATTAGAGAAACCTCGAAACATAAAAAGACTACTTATAAAGATAGTCCATTCTAAACCTACTTATAAGACAAGTGTAAGGGGTTCTTTTGGTTAGGGAGAGGACGTGTTGCAATGAGTGAATCGGGATGCGCTAATGGCGAGAGGAAAACTGGAGCAGTCCTTGAAGCACAAGTGCTTTTAGTGGCAGGTGGTGAGAAATGAAAAAGGGTTGACAGCGCGGCGGATAACGGTGAATGAGAAATGACTGAATTGAAAGACTCTCTGGAGGAGTCTTGAGAGAGCTTTTTAATATAATCTCTGTTGGGTTTCTAATCCTCCCCTTTTCAACTTTCAAGGCTCTCATATTTATACGGAAGAAAAACATTTTTTTAGGAGTTGTTAAGAGAGCGCATTCAATCATGGGAGAATATGCTTGTTATGGAAGTACAGTTAAGAACGATTTATGGGATATTGAAAGACTGATCATGTAGTTAGGTAATGGATGTAAGTTTTTGGTAAATAGAGTAGTGGCCTTTGATAGTGCGTCACGTGTAATTTTAAGGGGTAAAAAAAAAAAAAGAGGTAAAGCACATGTACTTCAAGGAAAGGTTAAGAGGAAGTTCTCTTAACTATCTCCATAAATGAGCCTCTAAGCTAAACTCTCTAGAACATTTCAAATGTGAAGGTAACTCATGAACCCTACCACTTGTTCTGAGTCACTTTCACTTCCCATACATATAGTCGTTGCACACTGAGTGTTTCTGTGCTTGTAACGCTCTTCAGGTGCTTCTACGCTCAGAACACTTTAGGGAGCTTCTGTACTTGAAACATCCTGGGTGCTTCTGCACTTGGAAAGCCCTTGGGCGTTTTAGCACTTGGAACGCCACTGGGCGTTTTTGCCCTTGGAACACCTTAGGCGCTTCTACACTTGGAACGCCATAGTGCTTCTGTACTTGGAACACCCTGGGCACTTCTGTACTTGGAATACCTTGGATGCTTCTGCACTTAGAACACCCTGGGCACTTTTGTACTTGGAATACCTTGGGCGCTTTTGCACTTGGAACAACTTGGACGCTTCTACACTTGGAACGCCCTGGTGCTTTTGTACTTGGAACACCCTGGGCACTTCTATACTTAGAATACCCTGGGCGTTTCTGCACTTGGAACGCCCTGGTGCTTTTGTACTTGGAACACCCTGGGCACTTCTGTACTTGAAATACCCTAGGCGCTTCTGCACTAGGAACGCCCTTGGGCGCTTCAACACTTAGAACACCTTGGGCGCTTCTACACTTGGAACGCCTTTGGGTGCTTCTATACTAGAACACCCTGGGTGCTTCTGCACCTAAACGCCCTTGGGTGCTTCTAAGTGGCCTAATTGGTTACAATGCGATGCTTTTTTGTTGTTGGTTCAGTGTGCAATTGGGAACTCCATTAATTAGATATTAATAACATTTTTTTTTTGCATGGTGATCTTGAAGAGGAAGTCTACATGAAGATTACTCAAGGCTTTGCCAAACAAGGGGAACATCGAGTTGCAAACTGGCTTCCTCATCCATGGATCAACAACATAAACTTAACCTTAATTCAGGGTTACTTTGTGATGATCCTAAATAGTATAAGCTTCTCATTGGTAGATTACTTTATCTCATGATCCGGTGTTTTGGATATTTGTTACATATCTTGAGTTAATTTATGCACAAATCAAGACAACCACCCTTTGATGGCGTCATATGAATCCTTGGATATCTAAAAAAT